TTCTTCAATTCAGATTATTTTAAATCCATGAAACTAATTAAAATGTCTAATACATATGATTATGAAAAAAATATATAACAGGTTGGAAAAAAAAAGTCATTTTCAGTTCTAGCCTGACAAATTCTGCTGCGAGGGTGCGTTGCGGTGCCATTAATTTCAATGGAACCAGAAACATGCCTCCCGCCCGCAGTATGATCGCCTGCATTGGGACGCGAAGTACTGCAATGCCCTGCGTTTCAGTGTGTTGTATTTGCAAAAAATTGTGCATGCAGTTTTTTTCTGAAGTAAACTTTATGTTTGTAACACTCCATTTGTGTATTTTGTTTTAAATAAAAGATGGTATTTCAATTTTTTTATCCGATTAATCGAAAAAAAAAAATAATCGGCCAACTAATCGATTATGAGAATAATCGTTGGTGACATAACCTATTGATTATGTCAAAACATAAAGAAGAATAAAAGATGAATAAAGAGGTATTTGATCAGTAAATAAAGAACAATTGAGCTCAACACTCCACCTCTTCCTGTTGCTGGAGCTCCACTATTGGTCTTTCAGGGTGATGAGCAGCCTTCCAGACCTATAGGGAACATTGGTAGGTGGGGTGGTGGATCCAGCTTGCCTATTACAGGAAAAGTCAAGATGTGTATATAATTTTATAATTTACTTGTTATTTTGACATGCTATTTTTACTGAAGGTAAAATTTATTTTTTCATCATATGCTCAGTTTAAATTGATGCATTTGGAGTGATTCTATACTGACATACACTATTCATGTTAGCGTAATTAAGCAAAATGCATGTACTCCTAATGAGATTAATGAGATCCTTCTTTCTAGACTAATAGGAGGTAGGCGTTTGTTTGGTTGGATGCACTGAAAAATAAACTGATTTGTGAATCAGCGGAATCTGCATACTGGAAATTTCTTGATTGACCTGAATTTATGGATTCAGTTTTGTCTAGTCTCCCAAAAATTATACAATGCATGAATCATAATAATATGAATTCCAGGATTGCATGATTATCTGCCGATCAGAAAAAAATGCAGACAAATATTTAGGTGATTTAATAAATTGGAAGTACAGATCAGTAGCTCAGAGATAATTGTGGTTAGATGGGTACCATGATGGAGTATTACTATAAATTGGCATCTGCTGTTTGCTTTCACTTCCTTAAAGCCTTCTATTTCCTGGAGGCCCTTTATATAGATTGTGTGCCTCAGCCTTAGTGCCTTGTTATGTTTAACTGTGGTGCCCATTGACAATAAATACCTGGTAATCCAATACCTGTATGAGCATAGTGCCCTGGAAAGTCACAGAGCAGTTGATTAACTAACATTATTGCTCGTGTGTTTCCAATATGACCTACAGGACCATGAATTGGTTGCGTATTATGCTTTGTACAATTTACCTACAACAATATATGGATATGCCCCTAAATTTCTTTATCTATTTATTTTTTCTTGAAGGTTACTGAGTTTCTGAACCTACCACAGACTGAGTGCGTTGGGCCGGTTGTCCGGTGATCCATGTAGTGTCTCAGTTATCTGCTCCTGAGGCTGAGTACGATGGTCCAGTTTTCGGAGATCCATGCTGTGTCTCAGCTGCTTGAGCCTGATTAGGCTTTGGCCTGATTGTGTGGTACTGTTCTTCACAATATCTTGGTTCTGTCTCCATGTGTACTATATTGTTTCTACTTTAGTCCTGGATTTCCTGGAAGGCAAACCGCTTGCTATATATGATATAAGTGCAATCTTCTCACCTACCTGTAGCTGACTGCTCGAGGTGAAAATGTAGCAGTTACCTAAACACTGCATTTTGTGAGTTAAAGCGGTGGGTTACATGACTTAGTAACATCAGCAGTTCAAGATAATTGCCATTCTGCACTCTAATCATGATTAGTCTCTCCTATTAAATGTCTTCCCCACTGTCAGGGTCTGATGCTAAAAACTGTCATAAGAAATACCCATCCCAGACAAATCAGAGCAACCGTTCAGGTTTAAATCTTCACCAATAAGCGACCCTTGGATAATCAATGCTTGAATCCTCCTGGTTGCTATGATTTGTCTGAAAAATTCATTTTGACAGTTATTGATTTTGACAATTTTATCCAGTTCTTGGTATGTTAAGTCAATTCACTGCTGTATACATGGGGCCGAAGATCTGTGCTCCCTGGTTATAGAATTGATCAGTTTCTCTAGTTCATGTGGCATGAGCTCAAAGATCATCTTAATATTTTTATGTATATGCTTTTTTTTTGTTGCAGTTTTTTTGATGGTAGGCAGCCAGTTCTAGCTGTAATGGATCCAGCAATCATAAAAAGCATTCTTGTGAAGGAATGTTACAGCCTATTCACTAACAGAAGGGTAAGTGGCAGTGCTCCTGTATAAAATTCTAATTACATTTTGTAAAATATTTCTGGATTTTAAGTGTTTTCTTTATAGTGTCAGCTTTGTCATCGTGTTTTACTTATTCTCATATTATCCCTTTTTTATTTATTTTTAAATGACTTTTATATGGAGAATTCTAAAAGTAATATATCTTTCTGAAATACTGAGGTAGAGAAGGCAAAACAAATGGTCAAAGTGATACCTTTTAGTGGGTAACAAAGATAGGAAAAAATACAAGCTTTGGAGACCATGAAGCCCCATCTTCAGGTATAACGACAGATTAAAAAAAAGCCAAAATCTGTTTATTTTGTCATTTTTAGCATTTTGCTTGTCATAATAGCTGAAGAAGGAGCTTTATACCCCCAGAGGCTCATATTTTTAATAGTCACTAAAAGGTATCACTTTGACAATTTCTTCCTGGCTAATATGATTACTCATGAAATGAAATGCTAAAGCTACACATAAGCAAATACTGCATTTATATATCATTAGAAATTCAGGCGTGGGTTTTGCACTTTTCTATCAGTCCATGTGCAATTGGCATTCACTTTTGGTAATAAATAAATGATGGTGTCAGCTGTGACTGGCAGCCAGTTGAGACAGCTGCATGCTGTAGAGCAGGGGTTAGGCAAACTCCGGCCCTCCAGCTGTGGTGAGATTACAAATCCCATCATGTATTGCACCAGAGCTGGAGGGTCAGAGTTTGCCCACCCCTGCACCCCTGCAGTAGAGACACATATGTTGACCAGCATTTTTCTTTTCTCTTGTCCTCATAATACTTTAGCCACAAGAGTAATCTGATTTCCAGTTCTCACCTGTACTTTCTATCCAATGTAGAATTTTGGACTCAACGGACCTCTACATTCTGCAGTATCAGTAGCTGCAGATGAACAATGGAAGCGAATACGGACTGTGCTGTCCCCTACATTCACCAGTGGAAAACTGAAACAGGTGAGCCTTGTCAGTATATATAACCCACCATATCTTTCCGTGTAGAAGAAGAAAATTAGAAGTGTAACACATATGTTCTTACCAGTCACAGAGGCCTATTGCTGCCAGGTAAGCTGCAGGTGGAGATTGTGTTTGCTCGACAGCAAGATGCTAAGGCAACCTGTGACAAAGTCATAGTAATGAGAAGAGCTCTGTTAATTTAATCATGGTAACTATTATGAATAGACATGTGCACTGCCAAAAAATTCGTTTAGTTTCGTTTTAAATTCGGATTTGTGTTATGCCGTTTTTCGGGATTCGGGTGTGAAAGTCAATTCGGATTCGGAATTCGGATTCGGACGAAATTCGGTAGCGTTAGGTCGAACGTTCGTTTCGTTTTCTGTTGTTATTCATTTCTTATTCGTTTCTTATTTGTTTCGTTCGTTCGTGACATTCGAGGGGGGAAAAATATTTTTCTCCTTCTCTATTGTCACTTTGCTCCAACTAACGAAACGAATAAGAAACGAATTAGAACAGAATACGAAACGAACGTTCGAACTACCGCTACCGAATTTCGGGAATGGAAATTCGGATTCGTTTGCATTCGTTATGTCTGTAATTCGGAATTCGGATACATCCGAATGTCCGAATTTCCAAAAATTCGCTCGAATTTCGATTCGGAACGAAACTAATCGCACATGTCTAATTATCAATGGAACCAAGAAAAGCCGATACAGATATGGAGAGAATTTCTAAATACCTAAGATCTTTGGCTGGCTGTCTAAAATCATCTGATGATTACATGTCTGATATACCGTTACATTAGTTGAAATTGGACCCTCAGTGCACATTTTTGATCCATGGCAAGTGCCCCAGGATGCTTTGGGTTATAGTTGTGAACTGAGACAAATAGTTCAATCAAATAGTCACCTGGCAAAGCATTCAAGTGTTATATTGTGCTGTATGGAAGTGAAGGTGTACTGAGCATCGATGAGTGAATGATTTCTGATTAAGCATCCATAGCTTTTACTCCGTTTCTGTAATTGCCAATGGAAATGTGAAATGATAGTTCTTTGTGCCATATTGTAGCTACAAGAAAAGAAAAGGAAAATATCTTGTTATCTTTACAGATGTTTCCGATCATTAAACATTATGGAGACCTTTTAGTGAAGAACATCCAGAAGAAAGTGGATAACAGAGAACCTCTAAACATGAAGGAGTAAGTATGTTGTGTGTGGATACTTATACATCCTAAGCAGATAATGCTTTGTGTAAAAAGGGTTAGATATCCATAGCTGTTAAACATTGTATCAGAAAGTTGCATCTGCAGTTAGGTTTGAGTGGTGCCATCATTGGCTAAAATGGTGGCTGGGAAAGATGTGTATGCATATGGGCCTGAATCTTTTTTCCGCACAGCCAGGGAGAGGGCATATAATCTTGGAAGAATGTAAGATTTGAATGCTATAATAATCTCATATGGAATAAAATATGGGATATTTTTATTAATTGTATTTATTATTTTGTTATTTGTGTCAGCATCTTTGGAAGCTACAGCATGGACATTGTTCTCAGCACATCATTCAGTGTAAATGTGGATTCACAGAACAATCCAGACGATCCATTTGTGGCCAATGGCAAGAAGCTTTTCACATTCTCCTTTTTCAATCCATTGTTCTTAATCACAGGTAAATGATTCAGTCTTCTGCTCACATTTATTAGCTGAGGCTGCACTTCTATACAATTGCAGGCATTTAGTCCATGTTGCACAATGTTTAACTATTACTGTATATCTGTGTTTTTTTTCTTGCAGTGCTTTGCCCATTCCTTATACCTCTTTTGGACAAACTGAATTTCTGCTTTCTTCCTTTAAATGTTCTCAACTTTTTCCAAGATGCCATAAAAAGTATAAAGAAAAATAGGCAGAAAGGTATTCATTCGGTAAGTCAATCTTACAGGAAATTACAAAACGTGCTAACAAACAATTGGAGGTAGCTAATAGGGAAGTGAGGTTGGCTGCTCTTTTTCCAACTTTCTAAATTTGCGTTATTCAATTTTCCTACATTTGCTTAGTTTATCGACAATTATTTCAAGGAGGAGTCTGACTGGCAGCTGTCATAAAGCAATTTTCTCATACTTAGGGGGTTATTTAAAAAGCAGTGAGGTGGTCACATAGCTGCTGTAAACAAATATGATGTTCTTCGGGAAACTCATGTTACCTCTCAAATTCACATGGCCATCCCTCATCCAGTCATGGAGCTCTCTATAGAACAGAGATAACTCTTTGAGGCTTTGTCAGCTACACATGGCTGCCTATTTTTTTATGTATAGGATGGGCTGTGTGCAGCGGTGCATAATAGATAACGGATAGTGATATCCACTCTCCGTTATAAACGAGCCCCTTTGTTTTGACACTTTGATACATCAGACTTTCTGTATATGAGCGACAGCTACAGTGGGTGTGTTCACCAGATCATTGAAGAAGAGAGTGGTGTGACCTGGTGACCTACAACAAAAATGGGATGAAATTAAAGCAAGAAAATCATTAAATGCTGCCCCTCTCACTGACAACAGCTGATACAATGTAGGAGCAGCAGCCACTACTGGTCCTGTATTGTACATTATGATGTAGGAATACCTGCCCACATTCTAGGACTGGTGACAAGAGAATGGACCTTTTGCTGTAGCTGGAATGTGAGGTAAGGTAAGTAATACTCTGTCTTATCTGGAGATCCCCTAGACAAAATGAGCAGTAAGCATATTTAATCATTGTGTTACTTGAGCTGTGAACAAGTGAAGTTGGCTGTGTTCCTGTATGCATTTCAAGTCTTAGTTTTACATTTCACCTAGATTGTACCTGCCTGCACAGTGAAATGGCTCTGCATATCTAGAAATGATTCATTTTGCTAATATTTTAAGGATTCCATTAGTATTTTGTGCCTGCAATTATGTACATGTCCAAAGCAAATTGGACACAGTCATTGAAGACATTATCAAAAGAGCCTCATCATGGGGAAAGTTTGACATTTCTTGGTAGATCAACATTTGTTCATGGGATAGAAACCCTGTTGAGGGCTTTTGTAGGTCACAGAGACATATATGCTCATAGGTGCTGCAATTATCTGTATTTCTTTACATCCAACTGCCATCTAAAAGCAATGGTCACCTTGGTCATAGATGAAGAGCTATGATGAACAACATTAGAGGAGATATCTACCCAGCCTCCAGCAGGTCATCAATTGCCAGTACCTGATACATTTTTCACCTGTCAATGACAGCAAATATTCTCAGTATTGTGAATCCTACCTCTTCTTTCCACTGACCCTGTCTCTCATAGAAAGATTTTTCAACAGGAGAGAAAATGTCTGTGAGTAATAATGAGCGCAATGACGACTGTTACTGTTCTAGATCATTTCATCAACCAGGATTCTGTGGAACCCTAAGAGGTTGTAGGGCTTTCTTGACAAGTGAGAATTGGTGGATTGATCCCCAGTCTACTCTGGAGACCAATGTAAAGGGGCAGTTTTTCACTGACCATCAGTGTAAGGGGCGACATATATTTCTACAGCTCACTGATTATGTTTTTATACCGTGAGTTTTATCTATAATACTCTTAACAGGGGTTCCTCGGGAGCTGAGAATTACGGTATGTCAAGGGTTCCTCCAAGGTAAATAGGTTGAGAAAGCCTGCTCTGTTCATAGAGGTCCTGATTATTGCAAATGATTTTCAAATTAGGAGCGTGACGTATAATAATCGGGCCATCCATGGCCAGCCTTACTATTCAATAATAGATATTTTGTTTCGCCTTTCTGCACAATTACTTCTTATTTTGATTCTTGTCATTCATCATATTTATATTGGCACAGGGCCAATACTGCAAGTGGCATTCACTGATAAGCATTTTGTGACAAACTTAACTTTGCTTTTAACTTTAAGAGTGTTACCTTTTCAATGTTCTGGAAAATTTGCTGTTGTTCTAGTCAGAAAATAACTTTTCTGTGCATGTGATTCAATATGTCAGCTCACTCTCATCTTGTTTTCTTACTTAGGATCGGGTGGATTTTCTGCAACTCATGGTTGATTCTCAAACCAAAGATGGGACATCAATAGGAGAGGAGAGTCATGGTTACAAAGGTAAAACAGGATTTTAGCTTTTGGCAAACAGTACCCCAGTGTTCAAACCTCTTATACAGCTAATTATACATTCTCTGATAACAGAGATCTGTGAAAATAAAAACAATTTTCTATTCTATTATTCACTAACATAACATGTTTGTATAGGTAAAAATAAAAGGCAGTGAGAAAGAAGGTTATTATCAGATAGTATTTTGTGTAAAGTATGCAGCATGAATAATTATGTTATGTTGAATTAGCCCTTGATGGATATATGTACTCCTCTATGCCAGCCATTTCTGTAAGCAGGACATTCTTACAATATTTGCAGGTTAGGAAGGGTAACAGTCTGGCCTGACTGGCGTTTTATTTTCTTCTGAAAATGGGAAGAGTTTGTATGTTGTAGAGAGAAAACAAAGACAATAACTGGGAATAATAAATTAAAGGGGTTATTCACAAAGCTGCCAAAGGCAGCCGAGTGAATCGAACAACGTTCGGCTACTCACTCTGGCTCAGTACGCCTGATTTCAGCCGTACTTCGGCTGCACTTCCGTCAACCGAACATGCTCTGCATGTGTCGGCTGAGCCGAAGTGCAGAAGGACTTCGACTCAGCCGATCCAACATCTGGATTGGCTGAGCCAAAGCTCCAGCAGCTTACTCGCTGCCGTTCGTCCCTATTCACTTAGGTGCCGAACGGCAGTGAGTGAACAGCCGAATGCTCGCCTATTCTGCTCGGTACCTCCATGGTACCGAGCAGAATAGAAAATAGTGAAAAAAGTAGGAATAAAAAAAAAAAGGTTACAAAATGTTTTTAAAATGTAAATAAATAGTAAAATTAAAAAATAAAGATTAAAAAAAAAACAACTATTGGGCAGAGGTAGCGGTGACAACTAGCTCCGCCAAACTGTTTCCTATTGGCCGGCAAGTGCTAGAGTCTTCTAGCAGGTCCCGGCCAATGAATAACTGGGCGGAGCTGCCCGTGATGTCACATGACAACCAATCAGCATCCACCTTTCATTTTCAAAGCTTAACTGAACAAACTGAAGAGAGAAGCTGATTGGTTGCCACAGGCAACTGCTCCAGTTTTGATAAATCCCCATCACTGTGTTTAGTTGAGCGCAGGTACAAGGGCATTTAAGAGCAAGCTATGCTGCAGGCCGACAGAAACAGATCCACACAGGTATCAAAAGCACCGTTTTCACTCTTTTCAGTCCTCTCCTTTTGCATTATTATGTGAACGTCAAAGGGTCAGATCATCCTTGAATCTGGAGTAGTAATTCAAAATTGCATCTCTGATTGACAGCTACATTTTTATTTTTGTCACAGAACTGACTGACACTGAGATAATGGCCCAGGCACTTATCTTCATCGTGGCAGGCTATGAGACAACTAGCACTACCCTTATGTTCATGGCCTACCTTCTGGCAGCACACCCTGATGTCCAGACTAAAGTGCAGGAGGAAATTGATACCCATTTACCTAACAAGGTAAAACAAAGTTTTATTTGCTATTGTATTTTTTGGTTTTGAAAAGGGTCCGTTCACATCAGATGCATTGGGTGGCGCTAGGTAGCCTTGCCCAACCCAGTTCTAATGCATAGACAGGGCCTTGTGCACTATTAGGTCAGTTCACACCACTGTATTGCGATGGTGTGCTCTGAAACAAGTACAACATGTAGTACTGTTTTTTAGCGTGTTGCTACGCACTATACCGCTTCCTAACAAAGCACACCAGTGGCTGCACAATAGTGTACACTGCTGGTGTGTATATTAGGACAGTTTACTACTTGTCAGAAACTCTGCTAAATAGCTACTTACATAAAATAATCAATTATCTACATAGAGTATAATATACTCAGCCTAAAGCTGGCTGTATATTGCTTGAATGTTGGCCAAGTTCAAATTCAACCAGCGTGTGGCCCGTCTGCACCCATTTGACAAAAGTTGTTTGTTTGTTTTTTATCAACTGTTGTCAAGGAAGCCAGTCTGAAAAATCCCAGCTAAAAAGTGACTGCAGCCAATCACTGCTCAGGTATTCTGACAGTGGCACCTCTTCTGCTGTCACAATACAATAGCCCAGGGATTTCCCATCCACACTATTCAGCATGGATGGGGGAATAAAGCATCTTCTCTTTCAGTCCAAACAGCTACTATATGGCCAGCTTAAGCAGATGGGTGGATTTCAACAGACTTGCATTGACAGAACAGTAAAGCACCATCAATGTAGCTAAGCAGGAGGTAGAGTCTAAATATACAGTATAATGAGCAATTAAACATGCATACAGGGACGTGCAGTCAGGTGAGGCAGAATCTCACCTGGTTTTATGGAGGAAAAAGCTGTCAGCTTCATATCTGAAGCTGACAGCTGTTTCTCCATTCAGAGTGGCTTCTAACAGGTTACACAGCAGAGAAAGCCTCCCCGCTGTGTAAACTGTCATGGACGGGGCGCAGCCTGTTAATTAGAGGCGACGCTGCATCCGGCTATTGGCAGCTAGTTAGATTACACAGCAGCGGGCTTCCCCACTGCTTGTGTAAGCTAACATAGTGAGGCCAGAGCTGCAACAGCCTCTACTTTGTGTTAGAGGCATGAGCTCTGTGGATGGCTTGGACCAATGGCAAAGCGCCATTGGTCCAAGCTGTCTAATCAAAAAAAACAAAAACACTGAGGACATCAATCTCAATGCCTCACCAGTGACGAGCAAGTGAGGGACAGGGAGGCTCCTCCCCTTTCCCTCCCTCCTCAACACATAGCTTGGTGACATCAGCGGGCTGGCAGGAAGAATGCCTCACCCAGCACGGAACACACTGCATGTCACTGGCATACATAATATATTTAAAAATCTTAAACAAGGTTTAAAAAATGTATACACATTGATCATTTTATTCACATTAAACTAATATATAATTTATACTATGTTGGAATAAAAGTCCGGGAATATTAAGAAGGTTTTTATTTGAACACAGGCTTCTCCCACATATGAAGCTCTGATGCAGATGGAATATCTGGACATGGTGATTTACGAATCCCTGCGACTGTACCCTGCAGCTGGAAGAATTGAAAGAGTCTGTAAGAAAACAACAGAGATCAATGGAGTAACCATACCGGAGGGAGTTGTGACTGTGATCCCAGTTTTTGCTTTACACCGAGATCCTGCACTCTGGACTGACCCAGAGGAGTTCCGACCTGAAAGGTAACTTAGTTTTGTTCCATATACTGGAAATGGCAGGTTTTCTTTAAAGCATGTTTTCACATTCATAACAAACAATATTGTTTCTGCAGGGGTCCCCCAAGGCTCTGTCATCGAACCCCTTTTATTCTCTACCTACACCTACTCCCTGGGTCAGTTGTTTGCCTCCCATGGCGTTCAATACTAGGGATATTCCGATACCAGTACCGATACTTGGCATTTTCATGAGAACTACCAGGGTTGCAGCGGTTGCAGCTGGGACCGGGCTCTGGCGCTCCACCACTGTCCTGAAATCATTAGTCTGTATTGTTTTAGAAAAATTGTCACATGACAATAAACAAAAATGTATCAGTACTTGTACTTGAAAACTGGTATCGGTGCATCCCTTTATTTATATTTATTTTTAAAAATTCATACATTAATACAGAGGTGCACAAATCCCAGGAGCTCCGTGTGCTCCTTACAAATGACAGCTGCCTCCTAACTTTTGAATTTTTCTCTAGTGTAGTCTTGGAGCTGGAAAAGTATATGTACATGTACTTGTACCGTGTGCGGTTTCTTGGTATCTGAACATCCCTATTCAATACCATTTCTATGCTAACAACACCCAATTTTTTCTCACTACTCGTCAGTTCCCCCCTTTAAGGCTCCTCGTGGATCATTAATTTACCAATTGACAGTATAGAAGCCACACCACTTCCTCTAATTCAGTCTTTCCAAAATTGAATTCATATTTCCTCTTCCACCATCCCCTACTCATGTCCCCTCCCCTGACTTTTTCATTGCAGTCAACCATCAGTCTCTGCCCTCATGCCAGGGTGCTAGGTGTAGTCCTGGACTCTGACCTTTCCTTTTGGCCCCATATGCAGTCACTGTCCAAATCTTGCAGGCCTTAAAGGAGAATTATGGGGAGAGTGAAATACACTAATTCCCATAACTAGAGCCGACATGTGACACTGAATCTGTCACATGTCGGCCCTATTTATCGGGAACTGGGTAATCACATACCGCTGGTTGCTCAGTTCCCAATCTTCTGCCTGCAGACAGCGGTGTCATTCCCCCCTCTGACAGCGCTGACTGGAGGGACAGGTGGGGGAGGGGGCGGGCACAGTTGGTTCTCCCTCTAGAGAAGCAGAGCCAGCTGTCAATCAGGCAATATTGTTGTGATCCATCCTGGCTGCAGCACGGCATTGCCAACATATAGCGGGCAATAGTCCGCTATATGCTGAGTTTTGGGTCACAGGAGGACATTACTATATGTCCTCCTGTGGACATATAGTATAGACATCTAGACACATTACTATATGTCCTCCTGTGACCCTAAAGAGAACTATGGCAACAAACGTTGGGCCATAGTTCTCTTTTAACCTCCATAACATCTCCAAAATAAATCTTCCAGTCTATCATAAATTCTGCTGCCAAACTTTGTCCACCTTACCAACTGTTCAGTGTCCGCCGCCCCCTCTGTGGTTACTGTTTCACTTGCACGTTAGCATTTTACTTATGGTAACATCAAATCCACTTTGAATTGGAGGGCAAGGCGCTGTATCTATATGAAAGGTCCTCTCCATATATACAGGGCCACAGAGAGATGGTGACAATTACTAATACAGTACTATGTTTCTTTCTAGATTCAGTAAGGAGAATAGAGAAACACAAGACCCTAACACCTTCCTTCCATTTGGAGCTGGGCCCCGCAACTGCATCGGGATGAGGTTTGCTTTGGTCAACATGAAGTCAGCCATCACTCTGCTACTACAGAACTTTCATTTCCGAACCTGCAAGGACACACCAGTAAGAAATCACTTAATTTATTTTAACAATAAAAGTGTATATGTATTCTGGAAAGTAAGATTACCACCACAGTTTTATAATCTACCCAGTTACAGTCAACAAATTGTCTTGCTGTCACTCTTCTGAAATGGGAATACTTACTGAACCAGTGACTTCCTTTGGGATATCACTCTTCTAAATCGTGTATAAGACATATGTAATCATGTGAAAGCAGAATTTAGTATACCTGATCTGTTAATGCTGCTACTTGTATTACAGATCCCTCTGGAAATTGACACCACGGGGTTTTTAAAGACAAAAAAACCTGTTATACTCAATCTGGTGCCCAGAGAAGCTCAGAAGACAGAACATTAGATCTGGAAGACAAAGAAGGATGAATGTGTGAAACAAGATCTTCAATCAACATTTTTCTTGTCAGTGCTGCATACAATCCATATTGATTATTATAGATATTATAGGAAACATGCATTCTTCAGGTTTTAAGAGCACAAATGTCTTTTATCTGTAAAAAATAAGTCAAGGCAACTGGACTTGCTGTATTTTCACAATTGAGAAAGCTGGTTGGATGACCAGTGAACCGTCTTTAAGAAAAATACAGCAAGTCCCGTTGCCTTGAACCTTTTATTACAGATATACCATGACCTGGATGAATGAGAACCTTCACAGACACAAATGTCTGCAGTATATGTATCAGTTAAGGTCTACCAGCAGCATATGTATCAGTTAAGGTCTACCAGCAGTATATTTTTTTTTTTTATCTTAGCCAAAAGGCCGAGAAGCGGTATATGTATCAGTTAAGGTCTACCTCTAAAAAGAAAGGGTTTTGTAACATCTGGCTAATGTGTGCATTGTAATGGCAATTTCCAGACAACTTACAGTTGTAAACACATTCACTCCCACCAATACAAAATAAAGAAAGAACGCATTATGTTTCATTGAGTGTTGTGCTTCTTCTTTTTTTTTATGGTGAACACAGTAATTGCATTTGCATTTTAGGAGTTGAGATTCTTCACACAGTTATGTGAATAGCAAATTCCTGTTCATCCTTAATACCTAATCGTGCAAATGAAACAGGAATTTGTTTTTCACCTGATTGAATAATGAAAGTGAATATACACACATCCACAGTAGAAAAAACCCAGCCACACACTGCTTGTCTCGCTGAAAAACGTCTTTATTCAGTCTTGCACAGCTCGGTTAAGTCCCGCCCTCAGTTCACCCTTCTAATGCGTTTCACCATATCCAGGGTTGGATCATTTCAGTGAATATTCACCATGTGAGGATTCTCAAATAAATCTGTCTCAATATTGTGTCCAGGGTACAACACAGAATGAAGGATGGCCTATAAAAGGTCGAGGACTGAAGTAAGAATGATACGGAAAATGAGAAAGCCAAATAAGCCTAAAAAAGTCTCCATGACAAGCAGAGTATTTTATTGTTGTAGGGACCTGTACTGTTTATTCAATAAAACATTGTGATGCACTTTAATGGCAGGGAAAATGGATGGCACTACCAATGCCACAAACAGAAAACTACTTTTACTTACAAGTACAAGATTTCATGTACACATATATAACCCTGGTCATTTTCTTTTGGCCTTGTTTGCAAGCTTGAAACAGCAACCCTAAGGGCCCATTCATACCACAATGATGTGTGCTGCAATGTCGTCTCATTATGCATTGTGTAAAACAGCCCAGTACAGCAACGCACCCGAAAATGAGGTAGGGTGCATTTTATTGCAGAGTAAAGCACAAAACTCCACTGTGTTGCAGCACACATGGGTTTTGGAGGTGCTTTGGGGTGCTATTCACAATGAATGGCACCACAGTGCAAGAAAACATATAACATGAATTGCAGTAATGTGAGCGTCATCACAAAGCAATGGTGTGAATGGGCCCTCACAATTGCCAATGTTTACAGACATCTCTGCTCTGAATAGCTCTCTGACTGCCAATTATTCCCTTAGTGGGTACTAACCATCCTGCTTCTTGCACAACATAGAAAAGGTGAAACCAGACTTTCAATCACATCCTGCACATGAAAGAAACATCTGCCCATCCTATCAGAAATCTACATTTGGATATATGGATTACAGCGCAGTTTAGTCGGCTCAGACTGTGTATTTTGCGGAAAGGAGGAGGGCGTGTGAACCAGCTAAGGAGGAGGGCGTGTGAACCAGCTAATGGAGCAATATATTTCAATACTTGGGCCATTTCCCTCTAGGGTTGGCCTGGGGTGACTGGTCACTCAATCATTCTTCCTGATGATCATCCTTCTCTTTCTTTTTAAAAGGCTCCAGAAATGGCTCATCTCCTGGAAAAGCAAACTTCCCTTGCATTGCATGTTTTCACTTCATGGTTGTCCACGCCTCATACTTTTCAACAGTTGTTTTGCTCTTTTCTTGTGAATTCCCAAATGGTTTCCAACATAGGTTCCATGCAATGGCACAAGGAAAACATTTGTGAACAAGTCCTTGACACCACCATTAACAATTCTTCAATGCATGCTGGAGGTCTCATGCTTTATTTACACTGAATAGGAAAGAAACACTTTCCCGTCCTCACCCCCAAACTGTTTAAGTACTTTTGCCACAGTACATTTCTAGTAAGGTAACAATATCCTGTACAGACGCGTAATTCCAGTGCATCTATACTACAATGATCTTCTCATCTTCCATTTAGAGGCGATTCACACCAGATACGTTGGGGCAGCATTGCCTGCCTTTTGCAATAATTAGGGATGCACCGATACCGGTATTTTTGGTACCGATAATTTTTTCCGGTACTCGCCGATACCAAGTACCGAGTACCTGAAGTCCCATTAAGGAAGCCAGATGGCGTGTAATAACTCGCCACCTGGCTTCCTGATTAGCCGGGAAGCGTGCAAAGACTCGCCACCTGGCTTCCCGATTAACAAGAAAGCCGTCCCATACGATCAGTGCGGATCTTTGTCCCCTCTCACCTCGGCATGTCCAGCCTGTCACCCCCGGGGCCTCTCTAGCCAGGAGCGGCCTTCCTCCGATTACCCAGGCGGAGCCGTCTTGCTGGCCAATCATGGAAGCTGGGTGCCGTGTAACAACGCGGCACCCTGCTTTCTGATTGGCCGGGAGGCCGGCTCTATGAGATGAGATGACGGAGCATAGAGCCATCAGAGCATTCGGGCGAGTACGGGTACTTACCCAAATACTCTGTATCAGCACCGATATCGATACTAGTATCAGTGCATCCCTAGCAATAATGCATAGCACTAATGGGATATTGGGGTATAAAAAACAATATATCCCGTTGAAATTCACGGAAGTAAAAAGTAGAAAACAGTTTGCTAACTGGTCCTATTATGACCCACCATGATGATCCACTATGACTCTATGTTACCGCGATTCTCTTCCTATCATCTACCAGTTCATACACACTGACACCATGACTGATCTAAGGCCATCTCCTATTACAGAGAGGGACTGGGTTATCCAGTTGTCCTACCCCAGGATGTTTGGCTGTTGTGGTCCTGTTGGCTAGGGTTAAAGGGCGTGCAGTGTATTATGGGTGGGAGCCATATTTTACAAACTCTCAATTTGCACGTCAATATAAGTGAAATTCAATCATAGGAAACATGGGAAATCACAGCAAATTCATGCTGGTGGAATCCAAATCGCATCCCTATTTAGGCAAATAGAAAAAGCACAAAAGTCCTTTCTAGTCAGTCATCCCAGATGGAACTCAAACCCTCAATCTAAGAGGTCAGTGACATATCTATTGGGTCACTGGGGCCTAATGCAGGTTTATCGCTGCATATAACTCACACCCAGAATTATTAAGATAAGGTGGGAAAGGTTGTTCACTTCCTTTCCCCTAGCCAACATTCCTGCAGCATTCCATGCAGCTTGTGTTACAGAGTACAAAGAAAGAACCATTCTAGAAGTGAAACACAGTCTCGCCATTTCTCAAACTTCTTTTCAACAACTAGATTACTACACCTTCTCCTAATCGTTTTTGGTCCACAATTCATAGAATGTTGTCAGCACAGCTGAATGACATCTCATGCAAGCAGCGCTGGTGACAACACCCTGAACGTTCTTTTGCTGCATACTGTCTTGTTGTAAACAGCTCAGGCCGCAGGGAGTAAATGTAGATGAATAATGCCTTTCAAAAAGGCCAAAAGCAATCCAAAGAATGCTCCAGGTGAGACTCAAACTCACAACCTCGTCATTGCTCACTGCTATATATACTGCTATATAAGTACCGCGTGCTGACCGATTGCACCACTGAAGCACAGCCATTGGTTAAACAACTCATAGACCCTGGAAAAAGAGAAATCATCCTTCTCTCATAGCACAAAATGGTAGTACTAAACACTTTTAAAAATAAGATGCCAAACACATGTACAATTACCAAATCATGCAGGTGAAAAGAAACCCCCAGTATTGGTAGTTAACCTGTGCTTAAAGGAGAACTATGGGGTCAGTGCTTTTTCACCATTGTTCTCCTTAGGGTAACGGGAGGACACAAACTAGTGTCCTCCCGTCACCCAAAGCTCAGTATACCGCGAGCTACACCTCCTCGTCTGTTCCGCCAGTCAGCGTTGGAGGATCGGACAGGGGAATCCCTGCAAGGAGCCATGAGTGACAGTCACGGCTCTCTGCAGGGACAGGATCGAGAAGTGAGTGAGCGACGGTATGTGTTTGCTCACTTCCCGATCTATTGAGCCGACGTGTGACAGTTTCATTGTCACACGTTAGCTCGAACTATGAGGATGAGTGATTTTCACTCACCTCATAGTTCTCCTTTAATATTGATACCGCATCAGATATATTATTCATGTGTAGCGCCTGCCTTTCTCAGTCAGTGATATCCCAGCACAGGATAACACTACCGTTGGCTCCGAAGGGGTGATCTACAGTAAAATAACTAAGAGGTCTCCCTGTGTTACCTCTGCAAGAAACCTCTATGACTGATCCACAGCACACCACGATTCTAGGGTGGGTTGCTATAGGTTACCACAATTTGCACATTAGCGGATACTGCCCTCTATGGTGATCGATCAAAGCGATGTCCAGACTGGAGATATGATACTGAGAACTTTATTGTAGTACTTCAGGGGGAGAGGTAGAGGGTTAGGATCATCCAGGCAGATGTAGATTCCTTTATATGGCAGAGTGTGCTTACTGTTTCCATGCACAGCAGGTAGAGTACTTGACACAGCAATACTTGAGGTAGAAGTTACTAGTCATGTTCATCCTTGTCATCAGTAATAACCACTGGGCCTCCAACCATAAGGCTCCAGTGCAATCATATAGCTAGTCCCCAGGCTGCAGGCCTAGCCATCTCTGAAATCCATAAGAGCCTCCCCACAGGCTGGGCCCGGGGGAAGAAGAGAGAGCTCACATAGTTCACCCCAAGTATTTATCTACTCCCCCACCATGCACCACTGGCCATTAGACTCACAGTGATTGGCTGGAGAGGGATATCCACTCAAAGCATTGGTTGCTCTGCTCTGTGCCCAGGGTACGCCCAGCAGCAGACAGATGCAAACGATGACAGATTGATTAGGGGAAACCAAATGAACATAGAATACAAATCAGCATCAGACTGCATGCAATCTGATAACACTAATGTAACAGCACTCTTTCCTGTAGGGTGCTATGCATGTGAAGTCCCTGAATGCTAAGTAACGTGTAAGTGGCAAGCTGGCCATACACTATAGATTGTTCCATCAACCCTATGAGCACCTTGATTGAGGAATTCCCGCTGTTTCTTTTGTATTCTGACAGCGCGCACTGGACTTGCATCTATTGTTTAGCAGAAAAGCGGCGATCTACATGAGAGTTTTCTGACTGCTTGCGACTAGATTACTTTGGAGCATTCTGCAGAACATGTTGGTCAGCTGTCAGCTTCATACATAACTATACTATGCCACCTGAAGCAAACTAGCAGTGGTGATTGCTATACATACATTTAAAATGATATTAAAGTTTTAATCTATTTTAAATGCTGATAAAATCACTTCTGCTGCTCCTTGATATTTAAGTTTTATTTTCCTGCAGATTTAGATGTTCCTCTGAGCACTGCCCCTGATAATCTGTTTTAGGTTGGCTCCTTTCCCTTGCAGGGTCCTATGGAGCCACCCTTGTGTCTGCATAAACACAGCAAAGCAAGTCACTCCCTTACCCCCTTTGCAAAGCCTCATGGGACGTGTAGTTGCACCACAGCTGTAATGACGAGGTTGCCTATCCCAGCCATAACGTGTGTTTAAAGCACTCTGGGCATAGTTAAACTTAACCCTTGCAGTGTACCCGGTGGTACCGGGTCCCATATTCCCTAGGGAAAATGTATCAAAATGTTTTTCCTTTTTGCTGGAGGAAGTGTGGTTTACAGGGCACATATTTACATGTTTGGTGGGAGTGTCCGAAGCTTAAAGGAGAACTATGAGGTGAGTGAATTACACTCATCCTCATAGTTGGAGCCGACATGTGACAATGAAACTGTCACACGTCGGCTCACTAGATCGGGTAAACGAACACATACCGTTAGCTCACTTCTCAATCATCTCCCTATCTAGAGGCAGAGCCAGCTGTCACTCCCACAGCTAGGTGGATCTCGAAAGTAATGTTGAGATCTGTCCCGGTGATGTGTCGAAAGTGCGAACTTATCGAGTTGTGGGACCGCATGACTTCCGGTTTCCTCAGAACTACGATGTTTGCACACAAAACATGTTGTGCACGAGCGCCATCCACGGCATTGCCCTATACACATAGACCGCAGCAATAAAGTAATAAAATGATGTAGGATGACAGTAAGCCAGCACGTTCTTTATCTCCGGTGCCCCACTCAATATGGCCGCCGCTTGAGTGGGGCACCTGAGATAAAGAACGCGCTGGCTTAGTGTCATCCTACATCATTTTATTACTTTATTGCTGTGGTCTATGTCTATAG